TCCTCCGGGTGACTTTTCTCAGATCAGGGGACTGTTCTTTAAGGCCCCCTACAGCTGGTACCCGACCTTGCTGGTTTATTAGTAACCGTACACATTACCTGTGCATATTAATGACATTGATTCATAGCTCCTAAGATTATACCCACTCTACTGTAGGATCTGACCTTGCTCTTCAGCCTTGGTGATCCTCAACCAACACCAGAAGAATTGCTGTTTCCTCCTGTCACCCACCATCAACAGTCTAATTCCAGACTCTAGGCTCACCTGTTACTGCCTGCCTGCGTCCCCCGCTCCAGAATCACCAGGGCAGTAGGTAGGCCCTACGTTCCAGATAGTTTTGATGGAAGTCACAGAGTTAGGAGGACCAGTTTTGGCAGCAAGGGAGGCCTGTGCTCCATCCTGAGTAGCCCCCAACCTTGTGAGTTCCTCTGTACATTTTTTTTTTTTTTTTGGTTTTACGAGACAGGGTTTCTCTGTATTGTTTCGGAGGCTATAGGTCCAGCCTGGCCTCGAACTCACAGAGATCCGCCTGCCTCTGCCTCCCGAGTGCTGGGATTAAAGGCGTGCGCCACCACCGCCCGGCCCTCTGTACATTCTCTGGGGTGAGAATAATTGCAGAGAGTAGGGTAGGGAAGGTGGGAGCACTAGGGATCAGGTGGGTGACCCCCTCCTCTCATTTTGACTCCAAGGATGACCTAGGAGAGGCTGTGAATGAGGCCCTTCCCAAGAGCCCGGGACAGTTTTCTCCAGCTTATGCCATAATTCGAGTGGCAGGAGGGACAGATAGGGAAAGGGTTAAGTTTAATTTATCCTGATTTCTACTTAATATCATGCTCTCCCCGTAGGAGCGGCAGCTGCGAGCTGATTGCATGCTCTCATTATGCAGTCTGTATCGCTAATGGCCTGTGACAAAGGCTTGCCAGCTCCCGGCCTTACCCCCGAGAGCCAATTAAACACACACACTCCCTTCCTGTTTGCAGCACGTTACAATGAAATTAAACTGAATTTCAAAATCGTTTTCTCCTGAAGACATCTCTTTACAATAATTAATGCATGCTATTCCTTTTCAGCAGAAAGGCCCACCCGGAGTGCTCACTGCCCACGTGGCTCCTGATGCACCCCAGGGCTCCATGAGTCCCGACATCAGAAAAACCTATAGGACTTGCTCCCCATGTTTTTAAAGGGAAGAACACAGCTTTTAAATCCAAACCTAAACATAAGAAGGTGACCACAAAGCAAGTTGGGATTCCCGCAGGGATTATTTAGGAGGCTGTTGGAGGGGCCTGCTAAATGCAGGATTCACTCAAAAGCAGGGTTTCCTAAATACTGCATTGGAGGGATAAACACAGGAGGTTTGTTTCCTCCAGATAGCTGGCATTAACCAGGATGTTTACAGAGGAGCACTGGGGAGCTGTGTGTTCTATGTGTACCACTTTCCATCACCGATCTACCCAAGTGATCATGTCAGGCTCCTCAGCCCTGAACTGGTGACACCTGGAATGGTGGTGGGGAGGCCCAGGAGCTTGTGCGGCTCTACTTGTGAACCCTGGCCACTCATTGGAGGTCTTGGATTGATGCCCCCACCTATCCAGAGTATATTGGCTAACTTTTAGCTGGGACAACACATGCTTTCAGGGCTGCTAGACTGAAGGTCACATTTCGCAAACTTATAGATTGCCTCCGTACCTACAAACCTCCCTCTCTCAGATGAGTCACAGTACCCACTCAGGGCACATGGTTCCACAAGGCTGCTTCCTAAAAGAGCACGGGAGAAACCACCTCCGTCACGATGGCCAGGGTGTCATATGGGAAACAGTCCTTTCCTTTTGGAAAGTATTACCATAGGAGCTAGAAAAGCTAGCATGCATACAAAAATGTTAGACATACAGCAGGGCAAAAAGGAAAATCTACCAGAGCCCTGACACCTGAGCTCAGAACTCAAGTGTAACTGATGGACCTCCAGGTAAAACACATCCTAGCAGATAGACACAGTGCACAGCCAGCAACTCCAATACAGTCATACTGTCTTTAGGACGCGGAATTCTCACAAGGTGAGGAGGGTCTCAGGAGAACTGACACACAGGTGGGGAGTTACAGTGTCTGCTGTGTGTCTGTCTCACAGCCTGCTTGGGTTCCCTGTACTTACCCATGAACCCCACAGGTCACACAGAGGAGACCAAATTGGAATATGCAAACCAATAGCCAAACCTGAACAAATCATGGTAAGTGAAACTGCTTCTGACCCCAAGGTGGGGAGGGGAGATTTTCAGGAATGTGACTGTATGGGTGGACAGGCATGGTGGCACCTGAGAGGAAGAGGAGGTCCTGACCTCAGGGGCAGTAGGACCAGAATTATGTGGCATTGGCAACGCTGTGGCAATGTGGCCAGCTGGCAGTGTAGGAGCCATGTCTTGGGGAAGAGGCTCCAGAATCCTTGTAAGGGCAGTGGACCTTCAGACCCTCTTTCTAGTAGCTGGTAGGAGGATGTCAAAACAGCTTCTGCCTCAGAATACACAGGCTACGAGACACAGACATAGGGCAGACCCCCCTCTGCCACTTCAGAGCCTGGTCCTACCTGTTTTGAACCAGCCATCCGAAGTGAAAGCAGTTTTAGTTTCTTCTGGCTTATCCCAGTATTCTCGAAACACAGAGGGTCCCCTAACTAGCAGCTCTCCTTCCTTTTCCTCGAGCCCCGGGGTCACCTGCAGATGGTAGAAGGGACATTCAAGTCAGAGCAGGGCAATACTGGGGTCCCCGCTGCTTCTCTGCCCCACTAAGGCCCAGGTGAGTGGCTTCCACCTACACCAGAAACCAGATTGTTTTAAAAATCAGACAGTTGGAAATCTTTGAAAATCACAGCCATCAGTGGGTGGACCTCGACCATGCCCAAGTCTAGGGCTCCTTCCTCTGACCTTGGCCTGGGGTACCAGGTGGAGGTCAGTGTCTGCCCACTCTCAGAAACAGTTCCTGAATCCCACTTCTGTGCACTTCTCAGAAGTTATGAGACATTTGCCAGCTCTACCAAGCAGCAGCACTCCAGCCCAGCCTTTGGGCAGCAACAGCTTCTGTCCAGAGTAACCAACAAAGGGAATCCCTAGATGCTAAGTAGAATGTGTAGTCACTCTGGCACTGTCATGAACCCTATGTGTCTTTACCATGGAGCCTCTGTGGTCACGCTGAGTAAACTGGCCATGTCAGATCAGCACATACAGCTACACCTAGGATGTAATACTTGAAGTAGGTGGCAAATTTGAGGCTGCTGCCTAATTCGTCCACTAATCTATACTTCTCATTGTTATCAGAATATGATCCTTCCACCTTTTTATTTCTTGAGACAGGGTCTTGTTCGGTAGTACAGGCTGGCCTAGAACTCATGATGTGAGTTCTGCAAACTGGTGGATGAAAGAGCCTGCTGCCAAACCTGATTACTGGAGTTTGATACTGGGAGTCCACATTATAGGAGACAACCAACTCTTAGAAGTTGTCCTCTAACCTCTACATGTACGCTGTGCCACCTACACGGGCACATGGACACACACACACACACACACACACACACACAACACACACACACACACGTGCGTGTGTGCGTACTCACAGGTGCCTACTTTCTCTGCTTCTATGAGACACAATAATGCAAATCCTAATTAGAGAAGTAGAGCAAGAAAGAGAAATGAGTAAAATTTTGAAAAGGAGAAATAAAAGGGCTCCTATTTGCAAAAGACATGATGGCATTTGTGAAAATTCCCATCATATTACGAAATCAAATCAAGCAATGACCTTGAACTAGTGAGTGAATTCACCTGGGTATTAAAGGATGTGAGTATGCCTATCCAAAGTTAGTTGTATTTCTACAACTAGAGAGCAGCACTTGCAGCCCCGAGGAACAGTAAGAGCCATTTGGAGTATGTCTAACATATCACATACAGCACCTATTTGTTGAAAATGGCACACATAAAGGCAGATCAGATCTACATAAATGGAAGGACAAACCATATCCATAGATTGGAACTCTTGTTAATGCTCCCCTCATTGATTCGCAGGTGCCATATGATTCCAATTAAGAACCCAAAATGACTTTCCGCAGATATAGAGAAGCTAGTTCTAGGACTGAGGGGCTGGGAAGATGGCTCAGTGGAGAAGCCCTGGCCATGCAAATGTGAGGACTGGAGTCTGGATCTCCAGAACCCATGTAAAAGCCAGGTGTGGTCATGTGCACCTGTTATCAAGGTGGAGACAGGAGGATCCCTGCAGGCTGGAGGGCCAACTGTCTTGGTGTAAATGGCAGTGAATGAGAAGAGACCCTGTGGGATGGAAGATGAGGATTAACACCCGAGGTTTCCTTCTGATCTCCACATGCATGCCATGGCATGTGTGCACCCCGTTCCACACAAATAAAACTTGGTATGTGCAGGATTGTAGGGAGGGATAGCTCAGTGGTAGAACACTTGCTGAGTAGGAACAGGTCTAGATTCGATCCCTAGCATTGCACAACTTAAATTTAAAACTTGACATTTGTAGCTTGAGTAACTTTGAAAATAAAGAGTTAAGCTGCTGGAATCACACTAGGTTTCAGGATTTACTATCATGCCAAAGGAACGGAGACGGTGCAGTGCTGGCAGAGTCCAAACATTCACTCAAGTATGTGTAAGTGACATTCATCAAGGCTGCAAAGGCAAGTTAATGAGGAAAGTGGTCTTTTCAACAGATTACAGTTGAGCAGCTGGATAACCATATGCAAAAAATAACCTCTTCACATAGTAGGAAAGAACTCACCTCACAGACAACACTGAATCAGGCTTTCAGAAGAAAACCTAAGGAAGACTCCTTTAGCTCACAGACATGACACCTGAAAGCTTAAGTCATGAAAGAAAAAATGTAAAGTAGGCTTGATCAAAATTTAAAACTTGGATCCATACAACACAGGAGAATTACAAGACAAACTACAAAATGGGAGAATTGGCAAATCATGTATCCCAGACAGAACTCTTAAAATAGTACTGCAAATATCCTGCTCTGATCAGTAATGATCAGGACAGGCTAAACAACTACTACAGTAAGACCACACCTGTGCCCAAACCTAGTGCTTTCCCCAGGTCTGGTTTTCAAATGCTGGTGACAACCCGGGTAAAATGAAGTAACAAAAATAGACCCTAACATTGAGAAAATAACACCATGAAATAATCTGAAGTGCAGGACTAACACGCAAGAGAATACTGCAGACAAGTGGGTGCCTATGAAGGTGGATGGCCTTAGCCACTGGAGCTGAGCATGTGCTGGGACTACAGACTACTACACAAGGGTCAGACGCTGCCAGCATCTGGAGTAATAGTCAGGGGCAAATTCCAGACATTATCAAGGGCTGGGAGGACGTGCAGAACAGATAGGATCTCACATATTGGTGGGAATGTGAAGCAACACAGGCCCTCTGCAGGAATGGCTCAGGTAGTTCCTAAACATGCTGTGTCATGTGAATGATACCCTACTCTCAGCCATTCACCTTGGAGAAAGAGATACTTAGTTGCAGAAGAAAACCTCAAAATTAACATTCATCAAAACTATTCATCACAACCCAAGTCTGGAAACAACCTGTGCTGGTCAGGTTTTGACACGCGATGTCTGGGAGGAAACACGGCTTGAATGGAAAGCTGGGCTGGGCTGCCTGGGCTGCCTGGGCTGGGGGCTGGAAGCTGGAAGGAACCTCACACTGCAGCAGAGGCTCTGGGTGCTACCGCTGCACTCTATTGATGTACTAACCACCTAGCACAGCCATTTCGGGCTCCTTGTCTACTCAGATGTCCTCACTCTATCTGCAGAGGCATATACCCCATAATGCCATCAGATTACAGTCGCCTGCTGTGTTGTGGCACCAGGAGCCATGCTTGATACCATCAAGCCATCTTCCCACACCCCACCTTCCCTTCCAGGCGCTTCCCCAGGGCTCCCAGTCACCAAGGTTTAGCCAATCTTACTAGTAGATATCACCTGTTTAAAAATCACTGTGTGGGCATGCAGGGCAGAGGGAAGGACCCAAATTCCTCCCGCTCGCCCTCTCTCAGATCCCCTGGCTTGGGGACTGCAGCCAGGTCGACTCACCCATCGACAGAAGACCAAGCGACCAGGAGCCTGAGAGAGAGCTGGTCAACTTCCACCCACACTCAGGGCAGAAGGCAGAGGGCAGAGAGTATTGGATTTGCTTGTACCCACCAAAAAGGAACCCTGGTCGCCTACCCACCAGGAGAGGAAGAGACTCTTTCTACACCCACTGGAAGAAGTGATGGGGAAGAGGCAAATAAAAACGCACTCAGCAACAGAAAAACAAATATGACATCACCAGAGTCTAGAGATTCTACACCAGTAAGACCTGAACACTCCAGTGCAGATGAAACAGAAGGGAATGACCTGAAAAACACCTATATTGAGGAAAAAAAAACCACCTTCATGAAAATGACAGAGGCCCTCAAAGAAGATGTGAGAAAATCCCTTAAAGAAATAGAAGAAAAAACAAACCAAAAAAATCCAACAAATTCAAGACAGGGAGGAAAACACGAAGCAAAAATTACAAGAAAGAATTCAAATAGTGCACAGATTGAAAGCTGACATAGAGAAAAAAAAACACAGTCTGAAGGAATGCTGGAAATAGAAAAACTGGGGAAAAGGTCAGGTACTACAGATGCAAGCATAACCAACAGAATACAAGAGATAGAAGAGAGAATCTCAGGTGTTGAAGACACACTATGAGAAATAGGTTCATCAATCAAAGAAAATCTTAAGTCCACCAAATTCCTAACACAAAATATGGGACACTGTGAAAAGACCAAACCTAAGAATAATAGGTATAGAAGAAGGTGAAGAAATCCAACTCAAAGGGACAGAAAACATATTCAACAAAAATCTTTCCCAACCTAAAGAAAGACATGCCAATGCAGGTACAAGAAGCTTACAGAACACCAAATAGAGTGGATCAAAAAAAAAAAGTCCCCTCGCCACATAATAATCAAGACCCCCAAACATACAGAATAAAGAAAGAATACTTAGAGCAGCTAAGGGAAAAGGTCAAATAACATATAACGGCAAACCTATAAGACCTGACTTCTCCATGGAAACTCTGAAAGCCAGAAGGTCCTGGATAGATAATCTATCAACACTAAGAGACCATGGATGCCAGCCCAGACTACTATACCCAGCAAAGCTTTCAATCACTATAGATGGAGAAAACAAAATGTTCCATGACAAAACCAGATTTAAACAATACATATCCACTAATCCAGCCCTACAGAAAGTTCTAGAAGGAAAACTCCAGTCCAAGGAAGTTAACTACAACCAGAAAAACATGGAAATAGATAATCCCACTTTACCAACACCCAAAAGAGAAAAGGGGTGGAAATCCACATATAATTCCACCAAGAACAACCATTCCAAAACAAATGAGAATGAGCAGCCAACGGTCATTAATATCCCTCAATACTAATGGTCTTAACCCGCCCATAAAAAGACACAGGCTAACAGAATGGATTTGAAGACAGAACCCATCCTTCTGCTGCATACAAGAAACACACCTCAGCCTCAAAGACAGATATTACCTCAGAGTCAAGGGTTGGCAGAAGATTTTCCAATCAAATGGTCCCAAGAAACAAGCAGGGGTAGCAATCCTAATATCTAACAAACTAGACTTTAAACTGAAATCAATCAAAAGAGATGAAGGAGGTCATTTCATATTCATCACAGGAAAAATCCGCCAAGATGAAGTCTCGATTCTGAACATCTATGCCCCAAATACAAAGGCATACACATTCATAAAAGAAACATTACTAAAACTCAAGCCATACATAAAACCTCACACACTTATAGTGGGAGACTTCAACACCCCACTGTCACCACTAGACAGGACTACTAGACAGAAACTTAACAAAGAAACAAAGGAACTAATAGAAGTTATGACCCAATTGTGTTTGACAGACATCTATAGAACATTCCATCCAAACATAAAAGAACATACTTTCTTCTCAGCACCACATGGAACCTTCTCAAAAACTGACCACATACTTGGCAACATAGCAAACCTCAATAGGTACAAAAAAATTGGAATAACTCCATGTATGTTATCAGACCACCATGCTTTAAAGTTAGAGTTCAACAACAACACAAACTGCAGAAACCCTACAAACTCATGGAAATTGAATAATGCACAACTGCACCACTTCTGGGTCAAAGAAGAAATAAAAAAAGAAATAAAGACTTCATAGAATTCAATGAGAATGAAGACACAACATACCCAAACTTATGGGACACTTTGAAAGCAGTGCTATGGGGGAGGTTCATAGCACTAAGTGCCCACATGAAGAAACTGGAGAATAGTTACATAATCAAATTGAGGGCTGAAATCAATAAAGCAGAAAGTAGGAAAACAATATAAAGAATCAATGTAACAAACAGTTGGTTCTTTGAGAAAATCAACTAGATAGACAAACCTTTATCCAAACTCACCAAACGGCAGAATGTGAACATGCAAATTAACAAAATCAGAAATGAAAAGGGGGACATAAAAAGGGACACTGAGGAAATCCAGAGAATCATCAGGTTATACTTTGAAAATCTATACTCCACAAAATTTGAAAATTTAAAGGAAATGGACAACTTCCTGGGTAGATATCACCTGCCAAAATTAAATCAAGAACATATAAGCATTTTTTTTTCAGTTTTATGGGACAGGGTTTCTCTGTATTGTTTTGGAGGCTGTCAGTCCAGCCCGGCCTCAAACTTACAGAGATCCGCCTGCCTCTGCCTCCCAAGTGCTGGGATTAAAGGCGTGCGCCACCACCGCCTGGCTACATATAAGCAATTTAAATAGACCTATAACACTTAAAGAAATAGAAGCAGTCATCAAAAGTCTCCCAACCAAAAGAAGCCCAGGGCCAGATGGCTTCAGTGCACAATTTTACCAGAAATTCAAAGAACAGCTTATACCAATTCTCCTCAAAGTATTTCACGCAATAGAAGCAGAAGGGTCTTTGCCAAACTCTATTTACGAGGTTTCAATATCATTGATACCCAAGCCATACAAAGACATAACTAAGAAAGAGAACTTCAGACCAATTTCCCTCATGAACATTGATGCAAAAATACCCAATAAAATACTGGCAAATCCGATCCAAGAACACATCAGAAAACTTATCCACCATCATCAAGTAGGCTTCATTCCAGGGATGCAGGGATGGTTCAACATACGAAAATCTATCAATGTAATCCACCATATAAACAAGCAGAGAAACAAAAATCACATGATCATCTCACTAGATGCTGAAAAAGCCTTTGACAAAATCCATCACCCATTCATGATAAGGTCTTGGAGAGATCTGGGATAACAGGAACATACCTAAACACAATAAAAGCTATATACAGCAAACCAAAAGCCAACATCAAACTGAATGGAGTGAAACTCAAGGCAATTCCTCTAAAATCAGGATAAGACAAGGCTGTCCTCTCTCTCCATACCTCTTCAGTATTGTACTCGAAGTACAATAAGAACAATAGCTAGAGCAATACGACAACAAAAGGAGATCAAGGGGATACAAATTGGGAAGGAAGAGGTCAAACTTTCACTGTTTGCAGATGATATGATAGTTTACATAAATGACCCAAAGAACTCTACCAGGGAACTCTTATAGCTGATTAACACCTTCAGCAAAGTGGCAGGATACAAGGTCAACTCAAGAAAATCAGTAGCCCTACTATATACAGATGACAAGAGGGCTGAGAAAGAAATCAGAGAAACATCACCCTTTACAATTGCCACACACAACATAAAATACCTTGGGGTAACACTAACCAAACAAGTGAAAGATCTGTATCACAAGAACTTTGAGTCTTTAAAGAAAGAAATTAAAGAAGACACCAGAAAATGGAAAGATCTCCCATGCTCTTGGATAGGTAGGATCAATGTAGTAAAAATGGCAATCCTGCCAAAAGCAATCTACAGATTCAGTGCAATCCCCATCAAAATTCCAGCACAATTCTTCACAGACCTTGAAAGAACAATTCTCAACTTTATATGGAAAAACAAAAAACCCAGAATAGCTAAGACAACCCTGCTCAACAAAGCAACATCTGGAGACATCACCATT